CAGCATTCACAGACCCCAGTGAGAACAGGCCCAGTTCGTCGCAATCTGCACCCAGGATAGCGAGGGTGGGGGCAGTTCTGTGAAGGATATTTGTACCTGCGGCTTAGCAGAGGCGGGGCAGTAAGTGGTGGCAAGGCAGGGATCTTTCTCCGGTGTTGGCAAGGCTGTTGCTTTTCTTCTGCTCCAGTTTTCAAGTGTTTTGTTCTGCTGACTGACTCTAGATATGAAGCTGGCTCGCCATAGCTTTCCCCAGGTTCTCCAGGAGTTCAGGAGAGATGTACCTGTTTGCATTGTTTGGGATCACCCATTCTCTTTCTGCTGCGGTGAAAGGCTGGGAGTCGCCTTCGGTTTGCGGTAGTGCTGTTTGTATTGCCGCCATTGTTCCTTCACCTCCTTCAGCCTTCCTGTCCTTATCCAGCTCGGCGGGGTGTGCAAAGCTGTCTGGAGAGACTGGGGGGTGGCGCTTAGTTGGAGGGTTCTGAGCAGCGCCAGCCTCTCTCATGGTGCCCTTTGCAGCTGGACATCACGTGTTCCATCCCATGGTACCCTGCTCTCACCTTGCTCTGCTAGGAACGTTCACATCATCTAAAGATGCATGGGGATATCTGAATCGCCACTTGCTTCATGTTGCTTGAGGAGTTCTGCACACTCCTCACCTAGGCAGGGAGTGTGGGTCTTGTAACGACCTCGTAGGAGGGACTTGATGGCAGCTTGTCAGTGGTTTTGTGAACCGCAGTAAGCTGCTTTGGTAGAGACACCGTGCGGGATCCCAGTGTTGTAGCAGTCGGAGAATTGCGTCCAGCTGGGCCTGTTTGCTCATCCAGTGAGGGTTTAATTGGTGCTCACAGTAGGGATGGTTACTCCAGCTTTGGGAAGGACTGGCCAATGCTGACGATGTGGGAAGTGGATGATGGCCTGTGCTGGTGGGCCCGGTGCGGTTCAGGGAGCAGTCTTGCTTCCATCTGGCAGAATGAAAAGTACCCCCTTGTTCTGGATCATGGGTGAGGTGAAGGTCATGGAGCGAAGCTCAGTCCAAAAGCTCAACTCCACTTTGCTCTGACTCTGTAGCCCCAGATCTCTGGTTGGGGGAGCTTAGGAAGAACATGTTGGGTAGGCCATGGCTTTGCACACATTCACCGCTCTGAAATGCCAGACCCCGTGTCCCAGAGATGTGAGTTCGATGGAGCAGTCCCACCTCAGCCAGGTCTGCTCTGACCTACGTGGCCACGGCCAGTTTGCTCTCCGCAGAGCAGCTCACAAGGTGATGACTTTTACTGCGAGGCGGCTGGCAGAAAGGGAACTGGTGTGTCTCCCGAAGGCAGGTTCTGTCTGCGATGCGCTTGGTGCTGGGGACTGGACAACGCACAGCTTAGCAAACAGCGAAGGATTTTCAGGGATGGGCCCCTCTGTGTGAGGCCAAGGCCAGGCCTGACATCCGTGGGGCTCAGTCAGGTCTGGAGCTGCCCTGGGCTCACCCCGATCCGGTCTCTTCACTGTGGTGCTGCAGTGCCCCCTGCTGCGAGGATTCCTGCCCCCCAAACTGCAGTGCCCCCTGCTGGTGGTGCTGAGGCGGCCCCTGAGTGTGTGTCTCTCCTCTGTTTTTGCAGAGCTGTGACCGACAGCATTAACCAGCTGATCACAATGTGCACCCAGCAGGCTCCGGGCCAGAAGGAGTGTGACAACGCCTTGCGGGAGCTGGAGGTGAGGAGCCGCCTGAGACTGGGGGTGGCGGGGGGCCGCCCGAGGCAGGGAACGTACTGGGAGAGCGGGGGTGGGGGGGGCGCCTGAGGCGGGGGACACGCTGGGAGAGCGGGGGGTGGCGCGGAGCATGGGATCCCTGAGTCCTTCCTGCTG